TCATGTACCACGTGTGGTGCTATGTCCATCTCATCTTGCTCATCCGAACTTGCTCTTAAAATTCATTGGTGGATGTGCTTCGTGTTCTCCCAACATGTCATCAGCACCTCTGCTTGTCTTCTGCCCACCCACCCCAGATGTCCCTGATACGCAGCCAGCTGTGTTAGTTACTCTGGGAATACTTTCTGAGCAGGGTTGTCTATGAGTCATGTAGCATAAGCAAAATGCTGTAAGAGAATGTAGTCATTTATATAGAATAAAAGCTGCTGGGTGTGCTCACTTGAGAACGTGAGCAAATTAATCACATAATTAATGGCAAACAGTAATTCCATATTTTACGTATAGTTTTAATGGGGATTTCTTCTCCCTCCATTCCTCCCTACCTCCCTCCTCTCTCTCTCTCTCTCCCTCCCACCTCTCTCTCTCTGTCTCTTTCACTAAGTATAGAACCCAAGATTTCATAAATGCTAGGCTAGCACCCTACCACTAAGCTACATCCCTAGCCTTTAAAGTAATTTATTCTTAAGTATATGTGTGCTTTGCCTGCATGTATGTAAGTGTATCCATGCTGTGTAGTGCCTGCGGAGGCCAGAAGAGGGCGTCAGATTATAGTGGCAGATGCACCTGTTCCAGTCCAGTTAGCGAAAGGTATCTCAGGAAAAACAAGAATAGTTTGGATGAACTGTTTCCGGTTTCTGTTATTATAGAGCATCACTGTGACTTTAGTTATCACACAACAATTAAATGGCTGTGAATGATCATTCATCAAATCAAATGTCTTTTAGCTCATAAACATGGTGAATGTTTTCGAAATCTGAAATCTAAATGACAGGAAAATTGAAATGATCATTTTAGTTCTTTTGTGTTCATAAGAGAAAAGCATTTCTAATAGAAAGATAGTGTCCTAAAGAGGATTTCAAATAAAGAAAATACCAACAGGCCACAGATAAATTTCAGTCAAGATTCTGTTCAGTCTCCTACTTCCTGTTAATCGATGCAATTACTAGTGATTCTTACTGCTTTTCATTGTTCCAAAATCGGTAAGAGAAACTTGACTCTTTCTTAAAATTTTTTTTTATTTTTCAGAAGAAGCATTTCATTACAGCTTTAACATACTCAATAACAATTTCCACTCTTTAGAACAATAAAAACAAAGCACAGCAATCCAAAGCAAGGCCAAGACCAAGGCCAGGCCAAGCCAAGGTCAAGGCATGGCAGGCCAGGCCTTCTCAAACCATGCTCCTCAGCATCCTGGTCTCACTTCCCAGCCGTTCTCTTAAGGAATTAGGGCCTGCCTTTCTTCTAAGCTGTTCCTTCCTTTTTCTTTTAACTTCGCAAAGATGATTCTTGTTTTCTCAGATTTCTTTAACACACGTACTTTATTAAGTACAAATTCTGGTTGCCGTGCTAATTATGAAAAAACAGAAGAATTGAACTTCTAAGTGGTGTTTTTCCAGAGAAAAGCTCTAAGTGTTATCTAATTACGGTCGAGAAGTAGTGAGCATCTTCGTAAAGTTGAGGGCCGATCACCTTGGACTTACCAGTACAGTGTAGAATTAGAAACTTTTCCTGTAGTTTGGTGGACGCTGGATGCTTCACATGACTGTGTTTGTGCAGTGTTGAACTGTTAATGTTTAAAGCTGCAAAGTTCACAACTTAAGCACTTCTTATCCCATCAGGAACATGCAGAAAACACAGCAGCTTTGAACTGGAGATCTCTGAGTTGGCCATACATGGAAATGTCAGGAGAGTTCTGTGATGCCATGTGCCACAGGCATGTGAGGATGTGGTGGGGTGGGAACCAACCCTCCCATCTCTGCGGCAACATGTGTTACACATTAGGCCACTTCTGGCCTCAGAATTTTAATTTGTTGGTGACAGGATCTATATTTGGAGAAGGAATTGTCTGGGCTAACTTTCTTTGCAATAATCATTTGGATTAAGTGATTATTTTCCATGCAAATCTAAATAAGATGCAGATACTGTGGGTGCCACGGATTTCTTCGTCAACCAGGGGTAAGAATAACAAAGAGGCCTGTTGTACATTAGTGGTGAGAGCTTCCCTTGGAGGCTAGCACATATACACACTCAAATCGGCAGTGGGGGAAAGGTACTGGTTGGACATCAGTGACGTAAAAGCAGTGACCCAAGCCGCATTGCCTCCTTGCAAACCATGAGCCTACAGTGTGTTGGAAATACTCAGTTAGGGTTGTTTGAGAATTACAGACAATGGAGCATTCTGCCTTGAGGTTATTCTGATAGAGAATAGAAGGTGGTCTCTTTACTGCAACTTTGTCTAAGCTTGCAAATTATTCTTAATGTATTTTTCCCTTGTTTTCATTTTTGGTTATACAAGTAGCAACGTAACAAAAGTTCCCAGGCCTTCAAAATGAAAATCCAATTCAATTTCTACCTAGAATATGCCATGTTAGCGAAATTATTGCTCTTCTGTGCACCCTAACACATCCAAAAATGTGTTATTGGAGAACTCTTTTTTTAGCTTTGATTTCACATATAGAGAAGACAATGAGTTTTAAAAATTATTCCGCTTTTCACAGTGGCCCACGCACACTCTCTTCTGTCACCTTTAAAGTCGTTTATTTTTATTTGTTTGTCCTTCATTCCTGTAGGTAACCCCACAGTTTACATTCTTTCATTGCTGAGAGGTTCGTCTCCCTCGTCTCAGTCCCCTCTTCCTTTCTTTGAGCCCCTCCACTTAGGGAAGGGAATATTCTTTGCCAGACTCTTAGGCCTTTGCTTCAGGCAACATTTGAGACCACTGTCCGCAGGGGGAAGGGCAAGCATTCTTTTGAATCCTGGTTGCCTGTAGGAACTACGAAGTGGGAACCAGTCTGGATGGAACTTAAGTCCTGGGAGTGACAGCAGACCCTCTGACTGACTGACTGACTGACGACTGACTGACTGTGGTGTGAATCCTGAAATTGTGGGAAACGAATGAAAAGTCAAACTCAGGAAAATATAGACCACTCACAGAACTGCTGTTCCTCATGGAACACATGATTGTTACCTATTTATCTTTTTAAAAAAATATTTTATGATTGTTTTTATTTTATATGTATGAGTGTATTGCCTGCATGAGTGTAAGTACATCCATGTTGTGCAATGCCAGTGGAGTTCAGAAGAGGATGTTGGGTACCCTGGAACTGGAGTGATGGGTGGTTGTTAGCCATCATGTGGGTGCTGGGAACTGAACCTCGGTCTTCTGCAAGTGCAGCCAGTGCTCTTAACACTGAGCCAGCTCTCCAGCCCTGATTGTTACCTACAATAACCTCACACAGGAGTTTTTGTGTGTGTGGGGGGGTCTTAGTAATGGTTTTCTGTTCAAATTAGAAGAGTGAATGGATGCCTATTGGACAATTCAGACTTCTCCCCAGATGACAAGTTGTTTTCCTTTAATCCACTTTAATCCCATTTCTCGCTCTCTCAGTAAAAGCAAAACTGAAAAACCCTTGGCTTGCGTAGAGCGTGGGGATGCTAGAATTTGGCATTTGATGGTTTGTGCACTGTTGGTATCTAGCCAGGACCTTTTACCACCATGCTGTGTTGGCAATTACGAAGGCTGTGAGTTTTGAAAAAGAGTTTATTGACTAGGCCGCCAGTCTCCAGTCCACTCTCTGAGGATGGGGTTTGCAGGTATTTATGGGAAAATAAAATGGTGATTTGAGATTTGAGGAAAGGTGGTTGGAGACTAGGAAGTGCCATGTTGGTGGCCTGCACATGTGTAAACACACTTCCTATCCCTCATGGGAGGCCTGTTCAGAAAATGTCCCTTGGTTGGATCTGCTGCCCTCTGGTGTCGAAAGGTCACACAGCTGACCTGCCGATGCTCAAGCAAGGGGCAGGTGGTTTTACCATTTTGGACCGGTCAAGATGATAATCTCAAGGCTCTCTATAAAAATCAATTGAAACAAAACAGTTTGGGGTGAGCCATGGCAGGGTGTTTAGAGTGCAGTTCGGGGGGGGGGTCTGTTACTTTATGGCTGCATTAAGCCACTTCTAAAACCAGCCATGAAAGGAAAGTAAACCTGCTGAAACCACAGGGTTTGTTGGGGTTTTCTCTGTGTTTCCAAGGAAAGCATGTGCTCTTTGCAGCTTTAAAATCTCCTTCTCTTTTTTGCTTTTGATGCAGCCTCTCATTATGCTGCCCAGGCTGACCTAGAACTCCTGGGCTCTATTGATCCTTTTGCTTCAGCCTTGAGTGATCAGGGAGACTGGTACCATCCACTCTGCCCAGCTGCTCAGGATTTAAAACTTCAGGGTTCGAGCATTTTACAGAGAGGAAAAAAGAACCTTCCTAATTTGGTTATGGGGACTTGGTCACAATCTGTGAACCTCCACTTGTAATTCAATGTGTTTTAGAGATTAAAACCTTTTTTGTTGCTGTTCATTATTTAAAAGCTAGGGTGTATTGGTGTGATAGCATATAGTATCCTGTGGATGGACCTGATCTGGAGCTCACAGATACCAAGAACACACTCTGGGTGCACATTGGGAAGCATTTTCAGAGAAATGTCTACTTCTTTTTAATCTGTCATTTTGTAAGGCTCTGTAGTATCTTCATCTGCAAAAGTAGAGAGGAGGGCTGACCCTCCTCCGCCTCCCCCTTCCCCTCCTCCTCTGCCTCCCCCATCCTCTTCCTCCTCCATACTGGTGGATCTCACTCTTACTAGCCAGCACTCCACCGCTGAGCTGAACCCTAAGAATGCCTTTGTGTCCTGTTCCCAGTCTGAATGAGATCTCAGCTGTGGCTCTCCAGATGGTGCACTGAGGTTTGTTGGCACTTTCATATCCAGATCAGGCCCTTCTGCAACATAATAAGGCCCATTACCTATCACACTGATATGCAGGAGCTTTAAGGTGTAGGGGTTACAAGTGAGGATACAATGACTGTGACCAAGTCCCCATAACAAAATGAATAGACTGTGCGATGTGGCCACCCAGGTGCTGCATCCATCCACTGAGGCCCCTTCTCCTGACAGGTAACAACGTCATGAGGACCATCCACGGGGTGGGAGAGATGATGACTCAGATGGTGCTCAGCAGAGGCTCCATCTTCCCAGTGAGCGTGCCCGACGTGCAGCCCAGCGTCCACCCCAGCAAGCAGGCCAGCTCCAGTGAGCCCGAGGATGTGACTGTAATGGACACTAAGCTGAAGATTATCGAGATTTTGCAGGTGTGTCGCGCGTCCAGACTCCACAGTAGAGGTGTCGCTTTGCTTACTGGTTTTCACATAAGCTGTGTTCCATGTCACCATGTGTGAGTGTGAGTCTGCATGTATGTGTGAGTGTGTGTGTGTGTGTGTGTGTGTGTGTGTGTGTGTGTGTGTGTGTTTGGGAACCAGGCTCTGTAGCACAGGCTGACATGGAACTTGTGACAAATCTCCTGCCTTAGCTTCCCGAGTACTAAAATCACAGATCTCAGCCATTACACTTGATTTTGCTGTATAAATATCCTGAAATGCTATTGGTCTATTTTTATTTTTCAAGTGAAGGGCAAAGCGGGTAAGAAATTTCTCATAGATGCTATCTAACAGCCCTGTTGGTTCATTCCCATGAAATGTACTAAGAATGGCATCAAGCGATTGCAGAGTTACTTTGAGGTTGATAAACTGCCATGCGTACTTGTTTAGTAAGTATGACCCTGATTGAGTTTTTCCTTCACTTAAGAAGAATTTTAAAGCAAGCAAAGTTAATGGTTGGATCCCAGTATTTTCAAGTTTTAATGGAATGAAACATTCATACATTTCATGTATCCAGAGTTGTTGTTACAGAAAACTCAAAACTTTTATTTATGGTGGACATGGAGAGACAGCCCATGATTTCAGCACTCAGGAGGCTGAGGCAGGAGGATCTCTATGTATTCAAGGCCAGCAAGGGCTACATAATAAGACCCTGTCTCCTTCTTCCCCAAATCACTATTAACTAAACCTGTTAATCATTGTTTTTGTTATTTTATATAAATGACCACCTCTCTTTATGTTTCTGAGGGTCTGGGAACTTTTTTTTTGGGGAGGGGATTAAGTTAGCCAAGTTTAATAGCTTTATCAGTTTAACAAGATCAGTTATTCCATGCACCTGCTTTAGTGATTAGACCTCTCATACTGTGGCTATGAATTCCTAGCATTTTCTGTTTTGGGTAAATTTGAGAAGCAGGTTTATGAGACCTTCATTACAGCGTTGATTCCAGAATTGGAGAATGGAGCCTGGCACTTTCAAGAATCTCTTAAGAGTCTGAATTCAGTTTACCAAATCGTTCATCATCGTGTAATGTAGACTGAGCTACCAGAAGTGGGTCAGCAATCCTGGAAGGGTCTGCACATCTTTCATTCACAGTAATTAGATTTATAATCATAAGACATTTCCCAGTTCCTGCAGGATTTCCAAAGGCTGAGTCTTGAGAAATGTTGGCTGGCTTCCCAACCCTGTGCTCATGACCCTGAACCCTCAATGTTTCCCGACCCTGAAGCTGAAAAGGGAAGTGACCACCTGACCTGGGACCCCAACGAGTGCCCAGTTCAACCTCACCCTGCTGTGCCGCCACCTCTAAAGCCGTGACCTTTTCTCCCCCAGTTACAGCAGAGTTGCCCCTCACAGGTGGGGAGGTGGCACTCCAAGGCCATCACACTGCTTCATTTCTGGATCCCCCAGTGCTTGGTGAATTTTCCGTGAGCCTCAGTTTGCTGTCTGACCCAGCATCTCCTCGGTGTCACAGAGTCTGCAATGCCCTCGCCTGGCTTCTTTCCCAGAATGTCTGTCAACAGATTCTTCGCAGCCACGTTCCCTGGCTGCTCTTTGCTCTGTGGCTCTTGTCCCTCAGGGTCTTGCCATCCATTCTCCCATTTAACCCCCTCCCCCCTCCCCTCAGGGGATATCTTTTGATTCTTAGTCTCTGGCCATCTATAATCTCTTTCTCTGTCCTTTTGTTTGGTTTTATCTTTTTAACTTTGAGACAAAGTCTTATTCTGTAGCCCTGACTGGCTTGGAACTCACTATATAACTCAAGCTGGCTTGGAACTCATGGCTGTCCTCCTGCCTCAGCCCCTGAGTGCTAGGAATGCTGGGATTGCAGGTGTGAGCCACTATGCCCAGCATTTATCTGTCTTGCTGTATTCCTCCCTTTCTTCTTGACCTTACACCTTATATTTATTTTTATAATTAGATACACTCAAGAAGGCGAGTTTTCCTTTTGGTTATATTTATGAAGTAAAGTTCTACAAGCGTCTGTCCTCACCCTCCTGCTTCAGGAGCACCCCTTGGGCCCTTTCTTAGTCCGCTGTTACCAGGGTTGGTCTGCGATCCCCACTGAAAATCCCTCATTAACTGGAGTCTTTTCACCCAGTGTGTGTTGTTGTGTTTGTAGAAAGTGGATCTAGGAGTAGCTGTGCTGGTTATCTTCTTTCTGGATGATAAGCTCTTTAAGATCCAGATTTACATCCTGGGCACCTTTTATATACTATGGCACCTTCCTCAGCACCCAGCTAATAGATGTGGGTGAACTTAACCAAGAGTGGCTGACATGGGGCTGCTTCCCCCTGGATACAGCATATAGATAGATCCAGCAACGAGGGGCGGGGGGCCGGGAAGGTGTAGGAGGGAGGCAGAGGGATGGGGAGTGGAAAGAGAGGGAGAGGGAGGGAGATATTGCCTGGAGAATCAGTGCAGGCATCATTTAAAAAAGAGTGCACCGTGCACCTTGGTGGGGCTCAGAAGCTTGTTCTCATGGAGTGGAGGAGAAGGATACTCAGGGTAAAGTAGACTCTATGAACAACCCTGAGGATGCATGATGGAAACTGTGGGTGATAACAGTGACCGTGGAACAGAAGATTCTGGGAACTGAGCGCCTTGGAGGGAGGTTGGGAAGACATATAGCCCAGGCCTTGAGAGATGAGTTCAGCGGATACCATGAAGGCCAGTCTCCCTGGAGCTCAGGTTACCATTTGGCTCCCTGTTCTAATGAGACCCTTGTGAGACCATAGGAGATACAGGTAGTCATTACACCCAGCAAACAATTAGGTGGATGCCGACTAAAATCCACTCTAACCCAGAGCACATCCGACTGACAGCCTTAGGCCTGTTCTGAGCTGTGTTAGGCCTTCTGTGTAATTTCCTTATCAGATGACAGTGATGTCATCTGCTTTCCAGCTCAGTTAGCACTCTTTCTGGCTTCCCCAGGGCTCCCAAAAGAGCTGGAGCATTATGGGATACGTTATTCATCAGTACTCCAGCCAGTGAGACAATGCCAGCAGAAACCCAAGGAACCACGACAAGGAGAAGTTCAGAGCACCCAGCGGCCAGCACTTTAGCTGGCCTGGCCTGGTTTCTGGTGGATTGCAGCGTAGCCACATCAGCTCTATAGCAGTTGAAATCTCAGCCTTTCTGTGCAAGAAAGAAGCTCCAGGATTTTCTCGTAGCTAAGGAGGAGCGCAAGTGTGCGTGGGAGTACGTCGGCAATACTTTTTCATCCAGACTCACAACAGCGTGGAATGTTGAGAGAAGGATGGTGGGGAGTCAGATGTCCTTGTTTCTAAAAATGGATGCATGCCACATTTGGTGGCATACACCTGTAATCCAAGCATCTGGGAGGTGGAGGCAGGAGGATCATGAATTTAAGAGTTCTTTCTCTGGTGCATAATGAGTTTGAGGCCAACTGGGCTACATGAGACCCTGTCTCAAACAAACAAACAAACAAATCCAAAATGAAAAAAAAAAAACCCAATCATAAAAAATAATGAAACTGACTGTGTGCTTCTTTCGCTGACCCTGACTAATGAAAATGTATCCTTTCCTTTAGCTTAATGCTAACAAAAATATGTGGGCAGCTAGGGGGTGAGGTTTACAAATAAAGTCTCTGATTGGAACATTTAGAACATTGACAGCTGTGTGGTTGCTCTATGTCACGACTTGCATCAAAAAAATTACTGTGTGTGTGTTTTGGGGGGTGCATGAGCACCATAGCATGTGTATGGAGGTCAGAGGACAACTTTGCGGAGTGAGTTCTCTCTTCCATTTCTACGTGGGCTCTTCAGATCCAACTAGGTTGTCAGGCTTGATTGGTAAGGAGCCGTCTTACTGGTCTATGACTTGTATTTCTAAATGCTGTGCTGACTATTGTTTCATCTCAGTAAAGGGTGGGGTCTGGAAGTACTGTGCTAATAGAACCAAGTTTCCCATTTTGTGTTTCTCCTAGTTCATCCTGAGCGTCAGGCTGGACTACAGGATCTCATACATGCTGTCCATATACAAGAAGGAATTTGGAGAGAGCAGCGATAATGCTGATGTCTCTGCCAACGGCTCTCCTGACACCTTGTTACCATCAGGTATCTTCTCCGTGTCTATATTTATTGTTTGCATTCTGATGTTTTTAAAACCTGGGTGTTGGAACTAGAGAGGTGACTCAGAGGTTAAGAGCACTGGCTGCTCTCCCAGAGGACCCAGGTTTGGTTCCCAGCAGCCACATGGTGGCTCACAGTTGCCTGGAACTCCAGTTCCCAGTGATGCCACACCCTCTTCTGGCCTTTGTGGGTACTGCATGCACATGGTACAGAAAAACTCATATAGGCACAGATAAATAAAAATAATAAATCTTAAAGGAAAAGAACCTGGTCACTTTTCATATCTTAAAGTGCAAAAACTATTTCTACGCCAGAAAATGACACAATCTCCAGTAAGTAGAATTAAGGCAGTGTTGAATAGCTTGCCTGGGAAGACCAGGAAGGTATTTGCTGTTATTTGTGTTAAATCTTGTTGGTACCTGTCCCCCTTGTCAGCAGCTCTTCGATGTCGAGTTACTGCTCATTGTGTCATTTTACAGATGAGAAAAACAAGGGCAGAGGGGCAAACGACTTGCTAAATTAGGTCATTGTATCGGTTACAAACTGCTGTGACAAATACCTAAAAGTAAGCTTAAGGGAAGAAGAGCTTGTCTTGACTTACAGTTTGAGGGGATGTGGGTCCTCATGGCGGGGATCCCTGGAGCAGGGGCCTGAGGCAGCTGGTTACATTGTGTCCACAGTCAAGAAGCAGAGAGCGGTGAGAGCTGGTGTTTGGCCTGCGTCCCCTTTTTTATTTAGCCTGAGACCCCAGCCTGTGGGCTGGTGCTGCCCACAGCCAGGTCAGTGAGTCTTCCCACATGGGTTAAACCTTCCTGGAAACTCACAGACACAGCAAGAGGTGTGTTTCCATGGTGATTCTAAATCCAGGGAAGTTGGCAGTGCAGACTATCACAGTCCTGAAAGTCTTGGACCCCTGAGGTCTCTTCAACTCCAGAGTCTGAATCTTTTAAACGTTGTGCTCTTTGGGTGAAAATACGAGAAAAAATTTCATGCCTAGATCAAAGAGCAATGCGGCTGCGGTTCAGGACAGGTGTTTTGTGCGGAAGCCACAGGCTGTCTAGAGAACAAAGGGGAGGCGTTCCCCAGAGCCTGGCATGTGGCATTGCCTGGCGTTGGGCTATCTGCTTTGGAATTGTAGCTCACATTTAAAAAGTAGAAGAATGAAGTCACTCTGCTTCTGAAACTTGGAATATATCTTCCCCCAAAGCACAAAAATGCTGTAAAAATTTTGCAACTGTGGAATGGACTTTGTTGGAACTAAGAAATACATCCAGTCACCATTTTCCTGGATAGACCAGGGCACTCAGGGCTGGAAATGACCTCTTAGGAAATAGTCAGCCAGTTCACAAAATTCTCTTCCTGAGGCTGGAGTCTGTATTCATAGGGAAGTCATTGTGATGTCTTCTGTGTCCGTCCATCAGTTTGACAAGAATGATTCATTGACAAGTGTAGTTGGAACAGGGACCAGACCAGGTGCCCCACTCTCCGTGTCTGCCCGGAGGCAGGCTGCCAGGTAGATGGAGAGCTTTGGGCCACAGTGAGCAGCCCGTCCTGGCACCTCTGTAACAGGGCCAGTAATCAGCTTCCCAGAAGTACAGAGCCCTGAAGGGCCGTTTCCAGGAATGGAGGAAGAACCAGAAGGCCTTGCTGGCGGCCGCACTGACGGAACATAATAATTATTGGCTCCCAGAAGCCAGACTTCTGGAAACTTGAGCTCTGAGTGTCAGTAAAGTAGCAGAGTGCAGGTCGAGGGCACCCCAGAAAACCCTCTCTCCGTTGGACTGAACGGTTTTCCTCTTGTGTATGTGTGAGGCATTCGTTTCTGGGGAGAATGCTTCTTCTCTTTCCTCTCTTTTTATGCTCTGGAGTTGAGAAATGAATTCTTTTTTATTAAAAATTTTTTTTTGTTTTCTGTGTATGAATGTATTGCCTGCACGTTTGTAAATGCACCCATGTTGTGCAATGCCCAAGGAGGTCAGAAGAAGGCGTCAGATCCCCTGGTCCTCTGGAACTGGAGTTACGGACAGTTGTTAGCAGCCGTGTGGGTGCTGGGACTTGAAACTCGGGTCCTCTGGAAGAGCAGCCAGTGCTCTTAACCTCTGAGCCATCTTTCCAGCCTTGAGAAATGAATTCTTAATTACCATTTGAACAGCCTTTCTTGGTAAAGATACCTTCAAAATGTCAGTGTGTGGGGGTATGGTAAAGAATCATGAGTCAGGCATGGTGGTGCTCACCATTAATCCTAGCACTCAGGAGGCAGGGGCAGGTGGATCACTGTGAGATTGAGGCTAGCCTGGTCTACATGGTGAGTTCCAGGACAGCTGAGGTGGTATAGTGAGACCCCGTCTCAAAAAAACAAAACCACAACAGAAAGAATGATGGCCGGTCATATGCTCCACAAGAGTTTTTTTTTTTTTTTTTTTTTTTTTTTTTTTTTGAGGCTACCTAAAATGTTTCTAGCCAACCCATCTCATGTGCCAAGGACCAGGAGTCTGGGCCTTGAACTCACAGAAATCTGCCTGCCTCTGCCTGCCAAGTGCTGGGATTAAAGGTGTGCGCCACCATGCCCAGCCTGAGAAGGAGAATTTTAGAAGAAGCAAGCTTAGGTGAAAAAGGCCGTGTTTGGACATAAAGCAACAGTGTTTGTCCAATGCCGCGCTGTGCACCTTTAATCCCAGCCCTGTGGAGGCAGAGGCAGGTGGATCTCTGTGAGATTGAGGCCACCCTAATTCACATCGTGACTTCATGTGGGCTGTGACTAGGGAGACTGTGCCAAAAAACAATGTGCTCTTCTGGGGCTGAAGAGGTGGCTCAGTGGTTAAGAGCACTGGCTGCTCTTACAGAGGACCTGGGTTCAGTTCCCAGCATCCATATGACAGCTAACAGCCATCTGTAATTCCAGTTCCAGGGGAATCCAACGCCCTCTTCTGGCCTCTGCAGGCATTGCACGACATGAGCACACTTATATCCATGCAGGCGAAAGACTCATACACATAAAATAAAAATAAATGAATCAAAAACATATTTAAAAATTGCTCCTCCATGCCATTACCAGTTTAGGTGATGTGTATGTTATTTTTATCTATGCAAACACATGTATATTTGATATGTCAAGTACATGTGTGCACACATATATAGGTAAGAGGCACTTTTGTAAATGATACCCTTTGATTTTCTGATAGTTTTAAGTACAGTTTGCACTAAAAGTGGGAAGAGTATGTTTGAGGCCCCAGGTCCGATATGCAGCACCTAAATAAATAAATAGAAACTTTCATTTTAAATGCTTACGTTTAAGTGGAAGTGCATTGTAGTTTTCCAAGCTATTAAGTAAGTGCCATTTGGTGGTGCAAAGGTGCTAAGGCAAACGTGTTCAGGTAGCGCAGTGTGAAGACGAGTACCGAGGGTGAGGGTTAGGACGAGATAGAGACTAAACCTCACCACGTGTCTCTGCAGCTGTTATCCCTGACACCGACGAGATTACTGCTCAGGCAGAGACCATGTTTGCTGGAAGGTAAGGCTATGGGTCTTCATCTTATTTGTGAGTATATTTTACCTAGAATTTTATTGGTAATTTGGTATCATTCACCTTACTTTATACATTTTTAGACCCTCCAACTGCTGCTAGCATAATTTCTGCAGAAATAAAACTTCTAATTTACTCTAGAGGAGAAGGCAGAACTCTTTAGATCAGCTTCAAAAAGGCTGTGAGCTGTGAGATCCGAGTATTGAACTTTCCCTGAATTCTTTGCCTTCTTCCCTCAGACAACCTTAGGACACGAATGCCCTTTAGCTCCCCTGATAGAAATGTCCTGTGTCTTGTAAAACATTGCTTCCCTGAATCTTAGGCAGTTGAGCCAAGAAAGAAACTTCTTTTGATGTCATTAACTTTATAGGTGAGAAATCAAGCTATTCTCTGTAGTTCGGAAGCATCCACGATTAAAGAGCTGAGCGGCTGGTCACGTGACCACCCGTGGCGTGACCCTCCATTGCTACTTGGTCTTTGTCATATATATATATATTTTTTTGAAACAAAATAACAGCAATCAATCAAAATGAAAAAGCAAAATATCTCAGAATTACTGAGATTCTAGTTTCCACTCCTGTTACAGGCTTGAAATGTGAAACTGAAAACACAGCTATTCTAAGCTTTTTGCTCCTCCCTTCTTAAAAAAGAAAGGCTGGGACTGGAGAGACGGCTCAGCAGTTAAGAGCACTGGCTGCTCTTGCAGAGGGCCTGGGTTCTATTCCCAGCACCCACATGGTGGCTAACAACCGTATGTAACTCCAGTTCCGGAGTATCCGATGCCCTCTTCTGACCTCTGCAGTCATTGCACAACATGGGTGTACCTACCTACACGCAGGCAGTACACTCATACACATGAAATAAAAATATTGATGAATATTTAAAAGGAAAGGCAAACAAGAATTAAGACTTAACGGAGCTGTAAGATCCGGAGTTCTAGGGGACCTTGTCTTGGAAGGAGGGAGGGAAAGAGGATGGAAAGGGAGGGAGGGAGGAGGGTGCTGGCTCTACCTGTGCCTTGGTCTCCTGGGTTGCTGAGGAGCCCGTTTGTCATTGTTCCCTTCATTTCCTGATTTGAGCGGACACAGAGTACAAGTGTGAGCACAGATACAACTGAAATGGCTTTAATACAGATGCTGTGTGAGTGTGGGGCTTCACAGTCGCTTCGGGTCTTACAGGAAGGAAAAGACTCCTGTTCAGCTCGATGATGAGGGCGGCAGGACATTCCTACGTGTCCTCATCCACCTGATCATGCACGATTACGCTCCGCTGCTGTCGGGAGCCCTACAGCTGCTGTTCAAGCACTTCAGCCAGAGAGCCGAGGTGCTGCAGGCCTTCAAACAGGTGAGCCGGGGGCGGTGAGCAGCTCTGCGGGAGAGTGCTTGCCTAGCGTGTGCAGGCCTGGGTTCAGTTCTTAACTCTGCACAAAGGAAAATCACATACTACTGAGTGACCTTCAAACCCTGAAAGTGTTTATAACCCGCTGTCTGACCGTCGGTTGCACAGCGGCCGAGGCTGCGTTCCTCGGGAGCTTTTTACTACTGTTGTTTAGACAGGTTCTCACTGTGTAGCACAGGCTGGCCTGGCACTCATTATGTTGTTTAAGCTGTGCTTGAATGTGTGTCAAGCCTTCTGCCTCTGCCACCCAAGTGCTGGGATTACAGGTGTACACCAACATGCCTAGTTTGATAAATAAAAATGATAGTCAATGAGATTCAGAAAGGTGTTGGGGACAGGGACATATTAGGAATTTTGTTGACAGTGCTGTTATTTTGGTCCAAGATTTTGTTTACTGACACATTTGATAAGTGGCTATTTTGTGATTTTTAAAAAAGAACATAAATCTGAAAGAAATGAATGTGCAGATTGAATCCTCTTCTCTGTGGTCTCGGAAGAACATGTTACTCTTAAAATTATTAGTTGTGCTAATGGGAAGTTCTCTAATATTTAATATATTTGGTGAAGTCTGGACCCTTATTAGGAATCTTTGCAGGAATATGCTAACAAATATGAAACCGTTAAATGGTGCCCATGTAGATGCAGGTATTTTATGTCTATATTTATATTCCATATAATATATGAAAGTTTACAAACTGAGTGGCTCTCAAGCTTTGAAACTGTTGTTTATTCTGTGAAATGGATATACAGAATTTCAGAAAAATTAACATCAGCTGTGAAGTAGAGTTAGACTGTCTTTTATGTTAAATTACTTTTCAGCAGTTTGAAAAGTTTTGCAAGGACACAAGTTTTAAAATTGCTTTTCATGTGTGAATACATTGGTTGGGGTTAATGGACACTTCCAAGTAAGTTTTTATGGTCAATATACATGTAAATGTTCGAGAATGCTGTAGAGATGCTGAACCCAAACTAACGAATGTGTGGAGGTCGGCACACAGGAAGTGGGAGAGCAGAAACCTGCACCAGGCATCAAGACCGAAAGTCTTCTGTGTTCAGGTGCAGTTACTGGTGTCGAACCAAGATGTCGATAACTACAAGCAGATCAAGGCAGATCTAGACCAACTTCGACTGACTGTAGAAAAATCCGAGTTGTGGGTTGAGAAAAGCGGCAACTACGAGAATGGAGAGATGAGCGAGAGCCAAGTGAAAGGTGGTGAGGAGCCGAACGAGGTTAGTTCCAAGATCGCGTTTTAACTGTTGTCCGTCTGTCCGTCCGTCCGTCCGTCTGTGTATCTATCCATTCATGTATGTACGTATTATGTATACATCTATATGTCTATCCATCATCTATCTATATCTATCAATAATCTATCATCTATCTACCATCTGTCTGTCATCTATCTGTCTGTCTATCACCTATCTGTCATCTGTCATCTACCTATCTATCATCTATCATTTAACTGTCATCTATCTATCTATCTTCTATCTATTTATGTATCTATGTATCTATCTTTGTATCTGTGTATCTATGTATCTATCTATCATCTATCTATCATCTATCTATCTATCATCTATCTATCTTCTACCTATCTACCATCTATCATCTATCATCTATCTATGTATCTATGTATCTATCTATCTATCTATCTATCTATCATCTATCTATCTTCTACCTATCTACCATCTATCATCTATCATCTATCTATGTATCTATGTATCTATCTATCTATCATCTATCATCTATCTATCTATCTATCTATCTATCTATCTATCTATCATCATCTATCTATCTATAGTATGTTTGTGTATGTGTGTATGCACATACACATGCCATGGCATATATGTGGAGGTCAGAGGACAATGTGCCTGGGGTGGGTTCACTTTTTTCACCATGTGGGTCCCAGAGATCGAACTCAGGTCAACAGGTTTGGCAGCAAGTGCCTTTACCCACTGAATCATCTTGCCAACTCATCTGAGACCGCTTTTGAAATAATCCAAATGATACTTTTAAGTTGGATGTATAACCATATGCTCTACAACCAAAATTGTTCAAGGAGAAATTTCATCTGAGTCACAGAACACATTTTACAGTTTTCACTTGCTGAGCTAATGAATTCCTAAGACCTGCCCTTTGCTTGATTCTCATCCACCGCTGCTCCGCCTGACCCTGTCTGTCTGGTTTTCTTCCCTTTCCATTTCCACTGAATCCTGCAGTCCAGGAGCCAGTACAGTGGGAGGGAGTGGGGAGGAGGAGAAAGGGACTGAGCTTAAGCTGAGACCCGGGGTGTGCTGGATGGCTTTAGTGTCAACTTGACACACCTGGGTTGAGGGAGCCTCAATCGGGGAATTGCCTCTATTGGACTGGCCTGTGGCCATGTCTGAGGGGCATCTTCTTGATGAGTGATGTGGGAGGGCCCAGCCCACTGTGGGTGGTGCCACCCCTGGGCAGGTGGGCCTGTGTTGTATAAGAGAGCAGGCTGAGCAGGGGCCAGGGGAGCAAGCCTGTAAGCAGTGCTCCTTCATGGCCAATGCTCCAGCTCCTGCCTCCAAGTTCCTGCCCTGAGTTCCTACCTTGGGCTCCCTTATGAACTGCAACCTGGGAGTCGTAAGCTAAATAAACCCTTTCCTCCCCAAGTTGGTACTGGTCAGAGTATTTTGTCACAGCAGCGAAGAAACAAACTAAGACACGGGGGTAGGGGTGTAGTCACCTTTCACTGTGGTGACTTATGGCCAACTTGTGAACCATCTCTCGTTATGGCTGTCTTCACATAATATATAGCAGTATAAACAGAAGGATGTGCTTTATTGACAACATAAAAATACCAAGAAACTGTATTTGAGTTAGAGTTGCAGGAAGGTTGTGATCGTCTATTGGTGTTTTAGTTTTCAGAGAGTCATTTAATTTGATCTTTTTACATTTTACTAAACACATGTGGTTACTTTTTTTTTTTCAAACAGTGTTGTACTGATAATGCTTGTATAAAATTTGATCATTACCAACATCTTGACTGGTAGTCCCTGAACTTTCTCAAATGCCTGCCTGGTCAGTTACTCGCATGAATTCACAGCAATAGTGACAGCATGTATAAGTCCCATTCAGCTCAAATCAGAAAACATCCCAGCCTAGACCTGGGGAAGTGGGTAAGAAACCCCAAACCAACCTAAGGAAATTTTCGAAACCGATGGCTGCTGGGAGGGGGAAAGTCAGTCTCTTTCAAGGATGGGGCTCTTGGTAGGTTAACCAGGTTCCAGTGGGTGAACCCACACTGAAGGACATTGGAGACACAAATCAGACTGTATAGATTTGATATATGTATATAATAGGGTCCATTAAATCGGGCAATGAGGGGAGGTGTGACTAGGGAGGGGAATCTCAATATCATCGTATTGTATGAAAGTCACGAAAGTTCAATTAAAAATGCTCTTCATTAGTAAACATAAAAATTGATATTATTTTAACTGTTTTTTAAAAAAAATCTTTTATTTTTTATTTTTATTTTATGTGTATGAGTGTATTGCCTGCATGTATGTGAGTGCACCCGTGTCGTGCAATGCCACGGAGGTCAGAAGAGGGCTTCGGATTCCCCTGAAACTGGAGTTAAGGATGGTTCGTAGCCGCCATGTGGGTGCTGGGAATCGAACCCGGGTCCTCTGCAAGAACAGTTGGTGCCCTTCACTGCAGAGCCATCTCTCCAGCCCCTATTTTAACAGTATTTTAACACACTATTTAATCATAGTAATGAATGTGTTATGCTTTTACATATTACAACCCTTCCTACTGAA